GCTGGATCATATGGCAGCTCTATTTTTAGTTTTTCAAGAAACCTCCATACTGTTCTCCATAGTGGCTATTAACCAATTTATATTCCCACCAACATTGTAGGAGGGTTCCCTTTTCTCCACACCCTCTCCAGCATTTACTGTTTGCAGACTATTTGATGATGGCTGTTCTGACCGACATAAGGTGATGCCTCATTGCAGTTTGATTTGAATAATTATGGATGTTGAACATATTTTCATGTGCTTCTTGGTCATGTGTATGTCTTCTTTGGAGAAATGTCTATTTAAGTCTTCTGTCCAGTTTTTGATTGGGTTGTTTCTTTTGATGATATTGAGCTGCAAGAGCTATTTGTAAATTTTGGAGACTAATCCACTGTCTGTGGTATTGTTTGCAAATATCTTCTTCCATTCTGTGGGTTGTCTTTTTGTTTTATTATTTCCTTTGCTGTGCCAAAGATTTTGAGCTTAACTATGCCCTATTTGTTTGTTATTTTTATTTCCATTACTCTGGGAGACAAGACAGATCAAAAAAGATATTGTTGTGATTTATGTCAGAGAGCATTCTGCCTATGTTTCCCTCTAAGAGTTTTATGTTTATAGTATCATCTTGCATTTAGGTCTCACAGACTCAGAGAAGGAACTTATGATTACCAGGGGGAGAAGGTTGGGGGGAGGGATATACTGGGAGTTTGGGATTGACATGTACACACCGTTACATTTAAAATATTAATAGATAACCAATGAGGACCTATACTGTATAGCACAAGGAACTCTGTTCAATATTCTCTAATAATCTAAATGGGAAAAGAATTCGAACAAGAACAGATACATATATATATACATACATATGTGTGTATATATATATATACACATATACATACATATAAACATACGTATGTGGTGGTGATGTAGTCACCCAGTCGTGTCCATCCCTTGTGACCTCATGGACTGTAGCCCACCAGGCTCCTCTGTCCATGGGATTCTCCAGGCAAGAATACTGGAGTGGGTTGCCATTCCCTTCTCCAGGGGATCTTCCTAACCCAGGGATCAAACCCTGGTCTCCTGCATTGCAGGCAAATTCTTTACTGACTGAGCTATGAGGGAAGCCCCCATATATATATACGATCTATTCATAAAACTGAAATGATTCGGTTATATATATCACTTTGCTATATACCTGAAGCTAACACAACATTATTAATCAACTATACTCCAATATAAAATAAAAAATTAAAAGAAAAAATTATAAAAAAATAACCCAAAAACATAGTCATTTTGGGGGCTAGGCTTCTGCCCATGAAATTTTCAGGGGATACAATTCAGCTCATAACATGTCCTACTTGTAAAACTTGCTCACTGATAGACACCTACCTGTAGATGTCTTATTGTTGTAATAAAAAAGCAAATCATGTGACTTGAATTCACTTTAAAGAGTCTTCAAGGATTATGGTATTCTTTGAAACAACCTATACTGTGTGTTAATGGTAACTTTGGTCCTTTCTGTGACTATGTATCTGTGTGTGTCAGAGTTTTTAACATATGTTGCAAAAAAGTGAAAATTTATTGGCTATCAAAGTAAGTGGGCACTGCCAAGATATAGACTACTCTACAATTGCAATTTTTATTATAGATAAATAAAAATATAAAACAAAATTAAGAGATTTGGCAAGTGACCATTACATTTGCATTAAAACAGAAGAAAAGAGAAAAAAATCAAACTCATAGAAACAGAGGAGAGTAGTGGTTGTCAGTGGCTGGGTGATGGGGGAAATTGGGAAATATTGATCCAAGGGTACAAACTTTTATTTATAAGTTGAATAAATTCCAGGGTCTAATGTACAGCACAGTGACCACAGTTAACAATGTGCTTTGTATACTTGAAAGTTGCTTAGAGAATAGATCTTAAATGTTCTCACTAAACACGTACACAAAGGTAACTGTATGAAGTGATGAATGCATAACTAACTTTTATTGTGGTAATCATTTCACAATATACACATAAATCAAATGATCATCTAGTACACCTCAAATTTACTTATCAATTATACCTCAATAAATCTAGGAAAACAGATATTACTTTGGAAAGATTATTTTTACATTCAATCTTATGAAAGGGATACACTTCTACTATGATGAAATCAATTGTGTACAAAATTTTATGTATCTACAGCCATCACAGCTGCTTGTCATTTCCCGTGATTGCTGTTCTTGAATGCATTCTAATGTAACAGCAGCTCACTTCGTTTCTGTATCACATAGACATAATTCCACTTGGTTCTAATTAGCAAACAATCACTCCAAAGGTTTCTCATTAGTAATCAGAGAAAAATCTTCAATTTTATTCAGAGCTGTGTTTGAGATTTTAGAAGTTTAATTGGATTCCTCTGGATAATTGGTTTATCTTACAAGAATGGTGCTTTTCTCTAGCAGACACTCATACATCTCTAGCATGCTTACAATCACAATCACATCTTAGCCTCCTTAATTATTTAATTTTGCATGGATGTAGATTCATAGTAATTACAGCAGATCAGATATACACGTTTGGTCATTTTTCACATGATTTAATAGTCATTGAACTGTCTAATCTTTGTGTTTCTACAGTTTTCAGAGTTGAAAAGCCAATTTAGTTGGATAACATAGTCACTGTTTTTATACTTATGAAATAGTTCAGACATATAAAGAGGTAGAGAGCACATAAATTTAGCAAAACATGTCATATGTGTGTGGTGTGAGGGTTCTGTGATCTTGACACAGTGAAGTTGAAAATTAATCCTTCAATTGTAGTAGCTTGAGCCTCATTTTTTTCTATCTTTCTGCTGCAAAAGATGAGTCTTTTTCTATATTTCCAAAGAGGTCCCCTGGCTTTCATCATTCATCTTAAATTGATCACCCTCAGCCTAAACTTGTCTTTCTCCTATGACTTAATCATCTACATAGCCATCTAACTCCCTAGTATTTAAAGTGAATACTTTCACCAACCTCCTCAGTTGTCTGGTATTTCTCAAATTATTCAATTATATCTTATTTTAATACCAATGAAAGTTTTAATAATTGCACTATTACAGTATTTCACATAGTATCTGTATTCTAAGTCCAGTCATGGGCTAGAGGGTGATCTGATTCCAAAATCTGATTTTATAGTTTGCTTCTTAGAATCACTTCCATTGCCAACTTTCTTTATAGCTTTGGGGATTTTAAAATAGTTGTTTCTGTTTTTGTTTTTCCCGAGTCAAGTGATTCTATAAAGGAGATATGTATGTAGGAGATTTATTAGTATATACTTTTGGAAACAAAACCTTTGAGGAAATGAGGGACTTGGGCTTGAAAGATAAGGTGAACTTTTGTAAAGTTAAATAGAAGCAACCAATCCCTCAGGAAACCCTAGGACTGGAATATCTCTTTGTAGTGGTTCTAACTTAAGGGAAAGTGGATAGACCTTTTAACCAAACATCTCTCAGTTGTTGGATGCTGCCTTCACCAGAAAGGAAACATAACTTGTGGCAAGATGTCTCTCTAGCTCACAGAAATTCCTAGAGATAGACTTGATCTTGAACTATTACAAAGTATCATTCCTAGAAGTTGTGGAGATGAGTGACTTGACCTATAAGAAGTAATCTAAGTAGTGGATCACATATCCACTATATATGGCTGCAGGATAAAAAAAAATATATATGTATATATACACACACACATATACATATTATATAAAATGTCATATTTTTAACAGAGAATAAAATTACCTTGTTTGGGAAACAAAATATCTTGAGAACTGAAAGCCTAAGACAGCTAGCTTTTATAGCTATGTGTAATTGTTGTTGTGTATAATTACTAACTAGTAATTTTTTATTATAATGGATTCTGCTTCAGCAATTGGAGAAAGCTGTATGTGAATGAAACTAATTTAGCACACATAATGCAACCACTAAAGTTGTACTTTCGTGGCAATTTATTTGGCTGATCACATCACATATACTGTAAAGTAATATGCATATTAAAAGTCAGGCCAAATATCAAATATTCATGTAAGACATGCTTTTAAAAATTCAAGATAAATTGACTCTAATAAAAAATAAATGTGTGTGTACAAGTTTGCTAGAACTTGTACCTCAGAGTGGGTGGCTAACAACAGTAAATTATTTTCTCATAATTCTAGAGGCTGAAAATCCAAGGTGAAAGTGTTGGCATATTTGATTTCTCCTAAGGCCTCTCTCCTTGGTTTACAGATGGCTTCTGTCTTGCTTTATCCTCACACTGAGTCTTCTCTGTGCATGTATACTCGTGGTGTCTCTCCCTTCTCTTATAGAGGCAACAGTCTTAATTTATCCTTTAAAGTCTTAATCTACAAATATAGTCTTTATCTCCAAACTGGTGTTTAGGCCTTTAAGATATGAACTTTGGGAAGACCTAATTCAGTCTATAGCATTGTAAGTTTATACTAATGCATTCATTTTCCCCCAGAGAGGCTTCTATTCATATTGGTAATCCTCTCACACACAGAGATAATTTCTGGGCCCTTCTGGTAATATAATAAGAATGAAGAATTCCATTTCTCTTTGCTTTCCTATTCCACCACTGTGCTTTCTTGATATACTAACACATATTTTTTTAGGTCAAAAGGAGATTGAGACGTGACAGTACAAAGTCATCAAAACTGGAAAAGAAAAGGGCAAAGAAAGAAATCAGGAACTGACTGGTCTCATTATACTACCAAACTAAGGCAATATGAGGAATTATCTATCAGTCAGTCAGTCAGTTCAGTTGCTCAGTCGTGTCCGACTCTTTGCGACCCCATGAATCGCAGCACGCCAGGCCTCCCTGTCCATCACCAACCCCCGGAGTTCACTCAAGCTCATGTAAATCAAGTCAGTGATGCCATCCAGCCATCTCATCCTCTGTCATCNTCTGTCAGCCCCTTCTCCTCCTGTCCCCAATCCTTCCCAGCATTAGGGTCTTTTCCAATGAGTCAGCTCTTCACATCAGGTGGCCAAAGTATTGGAGTTTCAGCTTCAACATCAGCCCATCCAATGAACACCCAGGAATGATCTCCTTTAGGATGGACTGGTTGGATTTCAAACCAGAGTGGACTGGAGCCACTGTCTTCTGTTATTTCTCGGTACTTTGTGGTGATTAGCATTATAAATGGGGGTGTGAATAACTTCTTAGCTTTGTCAAAAGACTCATCTGATGGCTCTAGCTGGTCTATGGATTAAGGCACCAAGGTGTGGCTCTGTCTCTATCACTGTTTTTACCTGGGGCAAGACATTTATGTGCCTCAGTTTCATTTGTAAAACAGAAATGAAACCAAGTATTTTTAGACAGGTCCCTCCACTATTAAAATTCTAAGTGTGTGTTTGAAATAGATTTTATGTCTAAACATAAAAACTGTCTAAAACTCTGGATTGTTAATGAATGAATTGGGGTTCATTCTGATGTCTTGGGTCTGTCAGTATAACTGCTGTAATGTTTTGCTCTGCAGTTTTTCCTATGATGGCAGGTGGAAGCAAAAATTACAGACGTCTGTGGACTTTCCATTAGAAAATCTTGACTTGTCGCAGTATGTTATTGGCCCAAAGAACAATCTGAAGAAATACAACTTGTTTTCTGTTTCAGTAAGTATCTCACTGAACTACTTTTTCTTTCAAAGCAAACTAAAAAAAACAAGTTTCAGGTTGTTCCTTACCTCACAGGAAAGTAGGAATAACATTAAAGCTCTGAAATTATTGACATATTTTAAATAATTCAATTTGAATTGACTTTCTATCTTGTTTTGCACAGAATCACTACGGTGGGCTGGATGGTGGCCACTACACTGCCTATTGTAAAAATGCAGCAAGACAGCGGTGGTTTAAATTTGACGATCACGAGGTTTCTGATATTTCCATTTCTTCGGTGAAATCTTCAGCAGCTTATATCCTCTTTTATACGTCACTGGGACCACGAATAACTGATGTAGCCACATAAGGAAAAGTAGGTTTTAAGCTAGTTACCTTTTAACAGGCTGAGCAACACAACTCTTGAATTGCTTATAAAGATTCTGGATAGGCATCGCTGGCCATTTAAAGGACTTGTAGGACAATGAGAGCTGTGTTACTATACCATATACTTCTGGTCAGCGCTATTATCAAAAAACTGACCAAGAACATTTAACAACTATTGCAGTAAGCATTCCTTACAGGTACCATTTATTTCAAAACAAGTTTTTTAGTTTGCTCCAAAGTTAAAATAATTAACTAGCTAAGCATTATTATTCTGCTGGTCTAAAAATCATTGTATCCTTTATTTTCCTATTCACTGTTATGGCCTTTTCACATTTCTAAATCCCAGCTTGATCTAATGAATACTCTAGAATGATGTAAAGCAGATAGGAATGTATGTGTATATATTTATTGCACACTTGCACATCAAATCAATGTACATAGTATAATATGTGGTCCTTTTGTGAAGCCTAGAACTCAGAGGATTGCTTTTCCCCCCCTCCTTTTGGCCTATTCTGAGTAACTGCAGTGCTTTCTTAGGGACATGACAGGGCAAAGCTATTTTTTGTTGGCTTTGGGCTGTATTTGTGCACTAAATCTTTATTCTAAAAAAATAAATGGAAACTTTTCTTTAAAAAAAAAAATTGTAAATACACTTATGTAGTATATGATTAATATAAATTAATTAAATATAAATCTATTATATTTAAATTATTAATGACATAGTTCAAGATGCTCCTAATTTTTTTTGCTCTTGATAAAATAGTCTCAGAGAAACCTTAATATGTCTCACTATGATTATATATTTTTTCTCTTCCCTTATATTTCTTCTGATTTTTCCTTTATGTATCTTTTTTTCTTTGTTGTTAAGGTGCCTAATGGTTTATGATACCTATCTTCTTTGTAAACATTAAAAATATTTATCTTTGTTTCATTTAAAATAAATAAATTTTAAAACTGAATTTTGAAGTGCAATGTTAAAGTACTACAAAATTGATTTATTACCTACAAGAGCAATAAGTATAACTTTTAATACAATCTTCTTTAATAGAAAGAAAAAGAAAATCACTGCATTTTACCATTTTTTTAATCCATTCTAGAGTTTAGAACAGTCTAGACAGTCAATAGTAAGTAGTATATTATACAAAGTTACAATTCCCTGAAGAGTAAGATGAACTGAGGTAAGCCAGTTACACAATACTATAGGATGACATTAAACATGTAAACAATTATTTTTTTCCTCATTTTCTATACTGGAATATTTGTTTATTTAATACTGTAGCATCATCTCTATGTAATCCAACCAAAATGTGGCCAAAATTACAGGAGCAAGAAAACATCAAAACGTTCTTGTTTAATCTACTGTGATAGGCCTAGATTCTTATCTGGAGAAGGAAATGACAACCCACCCCATTATTCTTGCCTGGAAAATTCCATGGACAGGGGAGCCTGGTGGCTAGAGTCCATGGGGTCACAAGGAGTCAGACACAACTGAGTGATTAACACTTAGATTCATATCATTGCCACCAAAGAGACTGTCATTACCTTGTAATTATAGCTGATTAATTTTGAAATAAACAGTTCAGCCATGTTTACATTGGTAGAACTGTATAATCTAAATATTCTTCCTCCACATTATACATACTGTTCTTACTGACAACAATATTGAATATATTTTCATAACCATTAAGAATTAAGGGCATATGCACATCTATTTTACTGCTTTATAATGATTGAATTTAGCCCTGTAAAATATTGAAAGTAGATCACTGGAAAAAATCCCCACAACCAATTGAGTGCAGTATACTTTAAAAATTTAAGAAGTCATTGACCAGATGGCCTTCACATTTCCCTCAGCTTGACTAAACATCAGATGGATTTCTTTCTGTCTCTAAGTAACTGATATCCCTCTCATCCTCGTTTTTAAGAATTCTGTGAGAATTCAGATGACTTACACACTGAGGCTCTTCTCCCTTCACCTAGAAAATTGTTTTAGAAAGCTTATGATTTTGTTATTTCTCTGCCCCAACGAAAACTAAATATTTTTGAAAGCCTCTTACCAGTTTTCAACTAAAGGAATGTCTCTCCCTGTCCAGGGAGCCATCGCACTAAAATGTTATCAGCAAGGAGGAGAGCATCTTTATCTCTCAGTCTTTGTGTAATACTAGGAGCCTATGTGGGCTTCCCTGGTGGCTCAATGATATAGAATCTAACTGCAATACAGAAGACATGGGTTTGATCCCTGGGTCAGAAAGATCCCTTGGAGGAGGGAGTGGCAACCCACCCAGTACTCTTGCCTAGAGAATTCCACGGACAGAGGAGCCTGACACGCTGCAGTCCACAGGGGAAATGCAGAAACACGGACATGAGTGAAGCGACAAAAACAGCAGCAGCAGCAAGAACCTATGTTTATGGGTGAGCTCTATAAACTGGGGCCCACCAGGCTCCTCTGTCCATGGGATTTCCCAGGCAAGAATATTGGAGTGGGTTGCCATTTTTCTTCTCCAGGAGATCTTCCCCATCCAGGAATTGAACCCAGGTCTCCTGCATTGCAGGCAGAGTCTTTACCAACTGAGCTACAAGGGAATCCTATTTTTCATAGACCCTGATTAACAAACACAGATGGTATAATCACAGAGAAAAATGTTTGCAAACTCAGGAAATAACTCAATATACTCAACACATGCCTTTGATCAACTTCCTTTCTGACAACTTCCAATACTTTTCCATTAGCTCATCCCTGCCTGTGAAAACTATCCTGTGTTTTTTTTTTTTCCCCCAATGAATTTATATTGAGTTCTTTCCTCTCTACCTATGACAATAGCTTTGCATAAAATTTTCCTTGCATATTTAACTTGGATGAAATTTTTGTTTTGACACTATTTTCTATGATGGCCTCCTCATTCCCCAAGTAACACATGTCTAATATTGCTCTGTAAGTTTTCTGTCTCCCTTTATGTAGACTAAATCAGAGTAAAATATTAAATCAACATTTTCCCTTACCTTTTATTCATAGGAAAGAAAATCCACTTGCTGAGCTGGGTCAATGTTGTGATGCTTATTAGTTGAGAAAAGTAACTTCTGAAGATGCATCTTTGATATTCTAACTCTAAAATGAAAGGGGAAGGAAATTTTAAAGCTTATTTGAATCAGCTGATTCTTTAAGTTAAACTCACAAAGACAAAAACATATAGTAAGGCAAAAAATTATTCTTCCATAATTTTAACTCAAAAATAAAGTAAATTTTTCACTTGATCTTTTTTTCCCAGAGATTTTTGAAAGTAGCATGTTCCACTTAAAGATACACCAGATAATTGCAAGCTTATTAAATTTACAATTGGTTGAATATTATAAAATAATAAATTTTTACCCTTGAAAATTAAGAGAATATATGTGATTTTAATGATTTTGCAAATTTTTGAAAGAAAGAGTAATGTCTAAAGAAAGAAATGCTGATGGTTCAGTTATTCATTCTTATGAAAAGTTAATAGACTTTACAGAAATTGCAATAAAAATGTTCAACATCACTAATCACCAGGGAAATGCAAATCAAAACCACAAAGAGATATGACTTCACACCTGTCAGAATTGCTATTATGAAAAAGAACATAAATAAGAAATGTTGGTGAGCATGTGGAACAAAAGGTATCCTCAACACTGATGGTGGGAATGCAAATTGGTGTAGCCAATGTGGAAATATAGAATGGAGTTTTCTTTTAAAACAAAAAATAGAACTATCTTATGACCCAGCAATTCCACTCCTGGGTATATATCTCAAAGAAAGAAAAATATTAATAAAAAAGATATATAAACCCCAAAGTTTGTAGCAATATTATCTGTAATTGCCAAGATATGAAAGCAACCTAAGTGCCCATAACAGATGAACGGAAAAATAAGATGTGGTATATATGTAAAATGATAAAACACTCAGCTATAACAAAGAATGAAATTTTGCCATTTGCAGAAATATGGCTGGACTTAGAGGATATTATGCTAAGTAAAATCAATCAGAGAAAGACAAATACTGTATAATATAATTTATATGTGGAATCTAAGTAATACAACAAACCCAGTAAATAAAGCAAAAAAGCTGACTCACAGATATGGAGAACAAACTCGTGGTTACCAGTGGGTAAGAGAGAAGGAGAGAAGGGAAGTATAAGGCTTGGGAATGAAGAATTACAAACTGTTAAGTTTAAAATAAGCTACAAGGATATATTGTACAACACAGGGAATAAAGCCAACATTTTATAATATCTATAAATGGAATATAATCCTTAAAATTGTTAAACTCTATATTGTACTCCTGCAACGTATAATATTGTACATCAATTCACTTAAATTAAAAAAAGGTATTACCCATTTCATATCTTCTCCAATTCATGGCAAAAAGAAAAAAAAGCTTAATGAATAGAATCAAGCTTATCTATCATTAAAGTGGCAGATGTGTTATTAAAACAACTGATTTGGAAAAATTGAACACTGACCATTTCATTACATTAAAAAGAACTCAAACCAGCAGGGATTCTTTAAATAGCATGTTCTTCTATTGTATTAAAAATGTTTACACATCATTAACTGCTTGAAAGAGAATAAGGCCTAGGGAAACTTAACATTTAAAAATTAAGAACCACTGCAATGTAGAGATAAAAGTGAGCAACTAGTCATATAATGCTTCTTAGTGTTAAAAAGAGTAAATTCACAGATAGTCCATTTATACCCAACTTTACAGACAGTAAAGTTGGTACAGTTTCTAATATTTTGGCATTAGCATCGATTTTGTGTCTGTCTGCTTTATAATTAGTAAGTTTGTAGCAGGTAACCAGAGGCCTTCACTTACATAATCTTTGTAAATTATTTCACTAGAATATTGGAAATTAGGTTTCTTTCATGTTCACCATGCTTCCCCATGAAAACAGACAAAGACTTGATCTCTATTTCATTCAACCACTTAATATATATTTATTGAATATCTATGATGTGCAAAGAATGTTCTGGAGAATCTATAGCAGTAAAAAAAGAGAGAGCAACATCCGTGTTATGCTTATATTCTATAGGTGATATCTATCACCTCTATATAGTGAAAGTGAAGTCTCTCAGTCATGTCTTTGGGACCCCATGGACTATAGCCTACCAGGCTCCTCCATCCATCCATGGGGTTTTCCAGGCAAGAGTACTGGAGTGAGTTGCCATTTCCTGCTCCAGGGGGATCTTCCCGACCCAGGGGTCGAACCTAGGTCTCCCACATTGTAGGCAGACGCTTTTACCATCTGAGCCACCAGGGAAGTCAGTCAAAGTAAAGAAGAGAAACAGAGCAAGGAAGTGTGGGATGGTTGCTGCTATTTTAAGTTAGGTGATCAGAGGAAGCTTCTCTTACCAAGTGGTATTTGAGCAGAACTTTGAATGGAATGAGTGAGGAAGACCCCAGATAACTGGGGAAGAGTGTTCGGACAGAGGGAATAAGTCCTAAAGAGGAGCCTAACATATTTGAGAAACAGCAAAGGAGTCAAGTCTTCCTAGAAGCTCATTGTATTAGCTTCCTGTGGCTACTAAAATAAATTAACATCCATCTAAATATTATGTATTATTTGGGCAGTACTGTATTGCTTCCCTTGTGGCTCAGCTGGTAAAGAATCTGCCTGCA